TTTTAGCAAATTCTGTCCATAATATCTGATAATCATATTATCCATATTTCATTCAGTTAGCATAAAGAAAAAAACTATTTACAAAAGTTTGGAACAGCTTTAATCATATTATCCATATTTCATCCAGTTAGCATAAAGAAAAAACTATTTATAAAAGTATGGACAGTTTGTGGGAACTAACCAGATATGATGCAATACCCACGGATTACCAACAGAAGGTGGCAATTATTACCCATTGTGTTATCAACAGCTAGCAAAACCAGTGAGTGCTGAAGCTGTGGCTCTGTGTAGAGTTTCAGCCTCAGCCAATTTGTGGCTTGTGACATAGGATCATGGAGATTAAGTATTCTTGTCTCATTTCTGGAAGTCCTTTCCATTGGGCAAGTTCAGAGGGAAAACCTGGTCCTTAGCATTCAGCCTCTTAGAACTCAAGGTAGGATAGAGAAGGGCAAAGATGAATTTTGATGTACAAACTGAGAATGAGGGCAGGTTAATTTCATTTCTGCATCCCAGAATGTCCATGTAGTACACTGCAAATGACTATGCAGTATACATTGTCCCAGTATCCCATTTATAGGATAGGTATTTCCACCATTAATAATCTGAAATATAGTGCATTCCTCAAAATAAAATGATAAAATACTTTCATGAATTTATTTCTTAAATTTTCTGTCAGTTATGTACATAGTATTTTGTTCAATTGAACATTCAGTAGAAGTAACTTTAGGGCTGAGGCTGTATAGTTCAGTGACAGAGTAATTGCCTAGCATGTGTGAGGCACTGGCTTTGATCCTTAGCATCACTAAAAATAAACAAAAGCATTCTATCTACAATTACCAAAGAAGAAGAAGGAGAAGAAGAAGTTTGGGCCATTTTCAAAATGAATTTTAAAATATTTTAAAACATTCTAATCATCTATTGTCTCAAAAGAATAGAACTCTAAAAACATAATTATTTCAAAGTTACTGTAATATTACTGTAATATTTGTTGCTTAATTTAAGTGTTTATAGATGTTCCACATCTGGGACCATGGGACAAAATGAGTTAAGGATTTTTTTTCTATTTCAATTAAAAAAATGATATTGGAATTTTGATAGGGATAGTATTGAATCTGCAGATTGCTTCGAGTACTGTGGACATTTTTACAATATTAATTATTCCAATCCACAAACATGGGCTATCCTGCCATTTGTATTTTCTTTAAATTCTTTTATCAGTGTCTTATAATTTTCAACTTACAGGTCTTTTTCCTCCTTAATTAAGTTTACATTTAAGTTTTTTTGTTTCTGTTGTGAATGGAGTTGTTTTCTTAATATCCTTTTTGGATAATTCGTTATCAGTGTGTAGAAATGCTAATGATTTTTATAGGTTGGATTTTGTACCCTGAAACTGTACTGAATTTGTTTATTAGTTTTAACAGGGTTTTTTGTTTGTTTGTTTGTTTTGGTGGATCTTTAGTTTTTCTGATCATGTCATCAGTAAATAGAGACTTTTTCACTTCTTTCCTATTTGGATGAATTTTATTTCCTCCTCTTGCTATGGCTTGGTAGTACAATGTCAAAAAGAAGTGGTGAGAATGAATCTCCTTATTTCACCCTGATCTAAGAGGAAGAGCTTTCACTTCCAGCTGGGTTTGTCATGTGCAGCCTTGACTATGAAGTGCATTTATTTATTTTTATGTGCTGCTGAGGTTCAAACCTAGCATCTCGCACATGCTAGGCAAGCGTTCTGCAGCTGAGCCACAACCCCAGCACCTTACTAATTTTTTTAATATGTAAAACCATCCTTCCATCATAAGAATATGTCTCACTTTATTGTGAGCTATGATTTTTTAATCAAACTAAATCTTTTTTCTTTTTTTCTTTTTTTTTTGGGGGGGTGGGATAGGTGGATACATACCTTTGTTTTATTTATTTATTTTTATGTGGTGCTCAGAATCAAACCCAGTGCCTCACATGTGATAAGTAAGGGCTCTACCACTGAGCTGTAACACCAGCTCTTATCAAACTAAATATTAATTGTCCTTTTAAAATTCTTGTAATGTGATTATTATACTAAACATTTCATAGTAGTTGCTTCTTTCACATTAACAAAATATATATTTTGGCTCTTGCTTGGGCTAACTGTACATGTGTTTAGACATTATTTGATTATAATAACCTCTGCTAACAAAAACGAAAGTCAGATCTTTCTCTCAGCTCTAGTTCTCATTAATCCCTTCACAAACAAAGGCATTGGTTGATTTACATCTTATGTTCACTAAGAATTTTAGCTATTTTAGTAGTGAATTATCGAAGTATATATGATATATAGTGATTAACAAGTAATTAGATCAACTTTTGTATATCCTTCGTGTAAAATGGACTTGGAAAATCTCCCTACTAGAGATATAATTGCACTTAACATGACAAAACCTGTTGTAAAGTCACCTAGCTAACGATTGAATCCTCTTTATAACCTGTGATCTGCTAAGATACTTGGCAGCTCCTGAATTTCTGCTTATCACTGATAAGCTCTTTCTCATGATAAGCCTAAATTGATTTCACACAATTACAGTTTGCTTCTATACCCTTTTGAACCACCTCTCCTGTTTCACCTGAGTCTTTTCTCCCTATTAAAATATTGATATTCTCTCCCATGTCTAATGTGATTTTGAGTCTTTTCAGCATTATCATATCTTTATTAGTGTTCCTTTTCAAACACAGTGCTCACAACTGGGCCCAGTGGCACATTCTTGTAATCCCAGCTACTCAGGAGGCTGAGGCAAGAGGATCACAAGTTCAAAGCCAGCAATTTAGGAAGACCCTATGCAACTTAGTGAGATCCTGTCTCAAAATAAAAAGGGCTGGGGATGTGGCTCAGTGGTTAAGCATGCCCTGGGTTCAATTCCCAATACCAACAAACAACAAACAAACCATGAGCTGGTTAAAACCAAAGACATTCTTTCTGAATTCAATAAAAATGTCCATATATTGGAGATATATAGCACTTTCTGTTTGCACTGTCCTTCACTGGGAAATTGCAAATAAATAAATAATTCTTAAGGAGCTCACAACCTAGTGGGGGAATAGATGCACAGAAAACATTTCAGCATGGTAATTGGTATAATGGAATAGAAGTAGGTTAGAATAGAAGTACAGTGGAAAGTTTCTGTGCCCTTCAGGCAGAGACTTCCTTCCAGGTTACAGCTGTCCTTTTAGTCAAAAAGTGAAAAACCACCTAACACCTATTTTCTCTTTCCCCATCTTGTTCACAAGGGCTGGCATAAGACCCTGGCATTTGCCTGCTGAAATCAGCCCATATTCTTTTTACCACATTTCTCTAGTCCACCAGCCTATTACCCTGCAGAAGAAAAGAAAGGAAGGAAGTTATTATTAGCCTGACTTTAAATGTACTTTTAATAGTTTACATGTTTTATATTTACACACACATATTCAGGAGTATATGTGTAATAGATCTCGAAAACCAGAAATAAAAAATAAAGGCAGATTTGCAAACTTTGAAATTCCTCTATTGTTATCATTGAAATTACAAGTTTGGCTTTGAGCTTTCTGATAGCCAGAGCAAAAGAGAAACATCATATAGTTCTGAGAAAGAAACTTCCTTTTCTTTTTTTTTAAGAAAAAGTTTTTCTTAGAATTCTGTTTCCTAAATTTTGTTTTTGATGAAATTTTCAAAGACAGATTTAATGACAAAGACTAAGGTAACTTTACTTGAAGAAGGAAAGAAATGCAAACAAATTCACTGAGGACATGTGTGCAGACCCACCTCAGCTTTCTCAGAACATTTCTCTCTCAGCTGCAGTTTTTGAGATATGTCAGGTTGTTTCTTCTAGTTCCCTTCAGTCTCTGGGTAGGTCAATAAATTGAACACTTACATATCCACACAACCTATGGTGAAATAAATCTAGGAAATGTGAGTTAAACAAGTGTCTTTACAGGAGGACTTCTCTTTAAAAGGCTGCGTACGTTGTAAATCTCCCAGAGGCAGTTCTCTTAACTTAAATTTGACCATAGAACCCCCTTTTTGATGGCACCATCTATTCTGTGGAGCATAAATTGGGGAACAGAGGACTGAATATTTACATATTCTTCCAACACCATCTTCAAAGAGAAGGAATATGACAGTCACCTTGAAATATATTTGTCAACCCCAGCTAAGAGTAGGCATTGGACAATGCATTCTCTCCTCTCTTTCTCTCTCTCTCTCTCACCCACCTCAGGATGATGTTGTCTGTTTCTCCCAAGTCTTCTCATTTTCATATAATGAAACCAGAGTACTAGCCCCACACTGCCTTTTTTGAGATGAAACTATGATCAGGACAAACCAAGATCTTGTTGTCACTTGGCAGCTTGGTTAGACTTCTGGTTAGAACCCCTGTCACAGCAGTTAACTTTACTGAATTTGTGACTAGATCAAGGTTTGCCATTACTTTGTACCTGGCCTCCATCTCACTTACAATGTCGTTATTTATAGAAGTCTAACATGTTTCTTTTTGTAAAGTCATTTTTTAAAAAATGTGTTAAAACAAGCACTATAACAGTGATTTTTTTTAAAAAATAAGCTCAAGCAGGGTTACATTTTTAAAATACACTAATGGAAATTAAATGTTATTAATTTAGAATCATGCAGTATTGGTTTTGGATATGCATATTATAATTATAAATTTCTTTTTATATCTAACATTTGTCTTCTCTTCCTTTAAATTCCTATGCATATTCCTTTGTGTTAGTATAGACAACTTCCTTATAACCTATAATATCTATAAAATACAGGAATATTGTCAAATTGAAATGTAGTTCTGAAGCCATTTTTATTTTATTCTTCAGTTGAATTTTTCAAGCTCTTTGCAGTTTTAAAAGGAATATTGACAACATCATATGAATTACCATTTTTCTCTTATTTCCCATGGATGGGACTACAAAGTCAGCTAACAAAATTAATTTCCTAGCTTTTGTGTGACCAGGATTTTCCACTTTCTTTGTCTTCTAAACTCTAGGTACAGGAGCTCCATGAAGAGGAGGCACAGTGGGTGAACTATGATGAGGACGAGTTGTGTGTGAAGATGCAGCTGGCCGATGGGATATTTGAGACCTTGATCAAAGATACTATTGATGTTCTGAATCAGATCAGTGAAAAACAGGGGAGAATGCTACTTGTGTGACATCTTGCAAATAAATTGAACACTGAGTGCTAACATGAGTCCTGGGCCTTTCTGCCTCCTGATAGACACCCCATCTCCATCATAGCAAGAGTGCTTCCGGACCTTGCACCTGTTCTTATGGACTGCTGTTTTAGAACTCATGAGACAATGCAGTATATCTGGTATTACAGCCTTTGCCTTTAGAGACTGTCCACTGGATTACTTGGTTATTTTTGATGGGCAGGGTCACACTCCTGATGTTGAGACACAGTATAACCCTATACTTCTTGTTAATACCCTTCCTAGATCTCAGAAGAGGGCTGAGAACACCAGAAGCACCTCTGAGCTTAGACAAGGGTGTCACTTCTTGAGTCTGAAGTCAGGCAAGCAAGATACATAGATCAATTCGTCATATTATTTTTGAAATGTAATCCTGTTCTATACCATGAAAGTCATAATGGACATTATAGTATTAAACAGTATTAAACTCTTAACCACTTCTAAAATAGGCATGTTTAGGGTCTGCCTATTTCACATTCTGGAGTTTATTCCATTGCTTTTTGAAGACCATTTTCTTCCATTGTCGCAATTGAGCAGCACCAAGCGGACTGTGAAGTTAACAGAAATAAATGGTAGCCTTGCTTTCTGAGCACCACCTAAAGAACTGTAAACCTTTGTGTTACACTTATTTTTCCTGTCTGGGCATGAAAACAGAAATGCCCCACTGAAGACTGGCTCAAAGGACTTCTGCAGGGCTGGTTCCTCTGCCCCTTTTCTTACCCCTGCACTTTTCTTACTCGTCCTGAACCTCTACCAGCTGCTCCCAGAATCAGATACTCAGGACCATCTCAGGCATCCAGGCATGGCAAAAGTGGAAATAATTCATTTTGGCCTTCAAACTTTCAACTCCCATCTCTCCCCAAGAAGTCAGAGACGCTGTTACTTGAATGATTTAGGAAATGAGTGTGTGCACCAAAGACAAAAAGATATTGTCTGTAGTTTGTGTGCTTGTTTTGCTCTATGGAACTTTTTTTAATTTATTTTAAGATAAGTTATTAAGTTGAAAACGTGCGTCCCTATTCAGAAGTGAAAGATTCTTCTTGTAATAGTTAAACCTCTGTCTTGAAGCTTCTATGGTTCATAGTCTTTGCACAGGAAACCTATGGTTTTAACAAACCCAAACACACATGGAAGAGGTCAGTTAAATTCAGTGAAAAGAAGATGAGCTTTCCTAAGATCACCTGCAGTAGCCGGAATGGGATAAATGATTTAAAGACACTGTAAAATTTAATTCTGCCTCTCTTGCAGCATTGCTTTTCACAACTATTACCTGTATCTGAAACAAATCTAGACTCCAGCTGCTACATTCGAGCATAGAAGATGCTCTCCTGGGACCTCAGTACCTGCCTTCCTGCCTGGTTCCTCTGAATCAGTCCCCTCCCTCTTCACATAATCTAGAAGAATGTGGATAATCTTAGGCGTGAATGTAAATGCCTTAACCTTGAAGGTCCTGATTAGAAGCATGATATAAGACATCCACTGGATTCATAGTTACAAATATCCTGGAATGTTATAGCTTCAAAATGTGTTAGAAAAACCCCAAAGATGGTATGATATTTTAAGTGTGCACGTTTTTTCATTTCTGCATCTTTCCTCCACACTCGCCTTTGTGTCTTAAGTGTCTCACTATGCACACGTCCGTTCATCTTCAGTTTCACCCTGTCATTACAAGAAACTTCCTGAAGTAATCATTGGAATATTTGCATTTTGCACAATGACTGGTGTGATAGCTCTTGACAAATAAGGAAAGCACTGAAATATTGTGATTGGGCCTGGGGAAATGCTCAGATTGATGTATTAACAGCATTTCTTCTGTGCCTTTGATGTTGAGCTGTAGTCTTGTAGCCATAATGAGCAAATTGACTAAGAGAAACAAAGGTTTCTCGGGGTTATTAACCAGTAGTGTGGAAATATTATTTTCATGTGGCCAAGGAAAAGCAAAGACATTTCTTTCCACTTTGGTTACTTGTGGCAAAAACATCATATCAGCATCCTTTGGCTGTTTGTAGGATCACATTGTCCTTATAATACTGAAACTTTACAGCTGCTGTAAATTTTTTATAAATGAATATCAAAGTACTATAATAGGAATCTAGTTGTTTTTCTACATCTTCATTATTTGGACCTAAAGTCAGTTTTTAATAAGAAAATTTATCTTTACTCCTTATGACATTATGACTCCAGGAAAGGAAAAGAGTGCTGCTGTAAGTCCATGGCGGCAGGGATCTGGACTCGGAGCCCCGGAGGAAAGGCTGCCAAGAATACAGCAGTGGCGTCCTGCTCTCCGCCAGCTGTCTCTGCCACCCAGAGTCCAGGGCTCCATAGAGGGGCAGGAGAGTCTTACTCGTTGTTAGAAATGATCATCCATAGTTTGGGAGCAGAAACAAAGGAATTTATAATTAACAGATTTCTGATTATTTTAACTACTTGGATCTAATTGAAGTAGGTTTATCGTTAGGAATGGTAAACATGGATACCCAGCCACTCATTCCGCACTGGGATCTTTTTAATCAAACTCTGCCTCTTAACCAAGAACCTAAAGAGTCCCTCTTTCTAATCTTTGCTCCTTATCCCCACACCCCATCCTCTTTTCAGTCTTCATAATTCCTCTAAGAAAAAGATCTTTGCATCAGCAGTAATATCTTTTAGAATAGTACTATCAGAATTTAGTAGTAAACCAACATGTAGGCTTCAGATCTACTTCTGAGTCCAAAACAATTTGTGCTCTCCAGAGCAGTTGACTCTGGGTTAAATAAGTACAGGGTATAGATTCCCTCTTCAGGTCTAAACAGGAATTTTTACTCTAGGGAAAGTGGGAAGAGCTCAAAAGTAGTTAATAAGGAAGGTAATTTGTTTTTCTTTTTCCTAAAAGAAAAGAAAATTCCTTCTGTGACTACAGGTCTCTGAGAAATTATCTTTCAAAAGAGATTTCGTTGCTCATCAGAGTGTTGTGGCCTATTGATAAAAAAAAAAAAAAAAAACAATTTTGTTCACTTTCTTGTCTTGAAAAAAAGTGGCCTTAGCTTTTTGCAATACTTGAATAAAGTGTGTACTCGCAAAAGAATTTCTGTAGCACAGCGTTAGAGACTCATAACTTTTCTGCAAGAAATTCAAACTTACATCTTCCTTTTACTACCTTAAAAATACTAGTGAATAAAACATTAATTCAAAGAGCAAGCGATAGAAACTACAATGATGTTTAATGCAAATTGTAGGAATTTACATGTTTACAAACCATCTTAAACTGGTTGTGCAGCAATTCAATAAAATATCTTTGTATTATAAAAATGTGAAGAAAAAATGTAAACTGATGTAAAGGAGGTACTGTCATTTTAATTAACCTATGTTTAATAGCTTTTCCTTCTGGACTTTGCAAAGCCTTCTTGGTAAATACATTGCAAAGCATTTTCTGGGAGGCTTGGCCTCCTTGTGTGTACTGTACTGTGCAGACATGAAAAATAAACCCGTTTACTGTGTACGTGTAAATCGCCTGTCATCAGGCATTTCCAGCCAATAGTCACATCCAGTGCAGCTCTGCACAGAAGACTTGGGGTGTGGTTTGTAAGTATGACCTGTAAAATAACTGGGACGAATTCCCATGTAAACCTGTGTAAATAGATTTGTTAACTAAAATGTACTTTAAGAAAAGAAAATCTGTAAATAAACTGATTTATAAGTTAGTTTCATGTCAGGTGTCCATTTTTCCACTCAGAAGCCAAGTTCAGAAAAGGAGTTCTCAGACTATTCAGTTCTTGCTGATTTCTCATTGGGTTGCAGGGCACTCAGGCTCGGGCAATAAGATTGGGTAAGCTATTCATGCTTTGTACATGGCACCATCACAAATCTCAAGGGACTTTGAAAAATGATCACTTATTCCACAGATTGCCATTTTGCACCACTTCGGTATTCTTGGCCCTGTGTTTGCTGAGTGCTAGGTAGATTGCAAAGGGGACAGGCATAGATGGTCCTTGATTTCATGGAGCTTGGAGTCTATTGAAAGAAAATCATTGAAAAATAACTCAAAAGAGGCTGGAGGTATAGCTCAGTGGTGTTTGCCTCCCATGTGTGAGGCCCTGGGTTCTATCCCAAGCCTTGCAAAATATAAACATAATTTGAAAAATAGTGCATGACGACTGTAACAAGTGCTGCAAAGGAAGCAAACACAGAGTTGGAGAATATCTTCTAAAAGGGCAGGAGACAGTTCCCTGGTAACTTTGTGTTTGTTTTTTTGAGATGGAGTTTCTCTGTTGTCCTGCTGGCCTTGAATCGAGTTCATTCGATCCTGCCTCAGCCTCTCAAGTAGCTGAGGCGTGCCCCACTGTACCCAGTTTATTACTTTGTTTTGAACATTAATGGGCTTTTTCTAATTCATGGCAAATGCCATTTCTCACAGAGACTTGAATTTTATTCACCCTTCCAAAATAACGTGTGGAAAAGTCCTGCACAATTAAGTGGGCCACAAAGAAGAGCAGCCAACTGATGACTGGGTGGTGGAGGGTATAATTTATTTCTGGAAATAAGAGCTTGGAGGAGAATGGAGGCAGATGTGTAGAAGAATGAAAGACTTCCAAAAACAGAAATATGCAAAACAATGTATCATCTCTGATCCAATAGATTACAAGAAGCAACCACACTTTAGCCTAAATTCTAGATGCCTGCTGATAGTCATGCTGCTACACCTGTAACACTTACCCAACTGTGCACAGTAAGGAAATTCTCAGAAAACCACTAACCCCAAATGGTAGCAGATTCTAATTCTCCAACTCAGAACAGATGTTTCTACTATGTGCCAGATTCTGTGGCTGGTGTTAAGGCCACAATAGTAATGATCAAATTTTGAAAAAAGACGAGATACCTGTAATCTTTAATCGAAGTATATGAAAGTGATAAATAGGAGGCTGGCAATTGACATAACAGACAGGAATGGTGATGTCATCAGAGAACAGGTGTCTCCTTGACATAACAGATGAGAATGGTGATGTCATGGGAGAACAGGGTCCCCAGAGCAGAGTCCATGGAACTCCTGGAAGAGGATTTCAACTTAAGACCATCAGGTTCTTGGCTTACCTGAAGGAAAGGAACCTCAGCATAGGACATTCAGAGGCATAGAAACAGGTTTATTTAGAAGATTAGATACACGTGCAAGGGAAAATGTGAGCCATCTCAAGAGTGAGAGATGTGTTTTGGGGATTTCCAGTTTTGTTTGTTTTTGTTGTTGTTGTTGTGTTGTTTTGTTTTGTTTGGTACCAGGGATTGAACCCAGCTTTTTTTTTTAAAGGAGTTGGTGAGGCATGGGTATAGGGAGTTATATAGGAATATCAGTCTGTTGATCTCAAGATGACTGTGGCTGGTCAGTCTCAGGATCCTCAGGCAGATGTGGTCCTTATTATCTGATCAGTCCCCTAAAGTATGGGTTTCTCAAAATATCTCTCTTAGCCAGGCGTGCTGGTGCACACCTGTGATCCCAGTGACTCACAGAGGCCTGATCAGGAGGATTGCAAATTCAAGGCAGTCTAGGAAAGTTGCAAGACCCTGTCTCAAAGGGTTCAGTCCACAGTGTATCTATCTATCTAGAGAGACAGCTAGAGAGAGTTTGTATCTCTCCTTACTTGTTGGGGGCTTGATTAACAGTGCTCGGGATGGATTTACAGGTTTCCCAGAATTTGAGAGTGACTGGCCTTAGGAAGTGAAGAGCCTGGAATAGTTTACAGAACTTGTGAATTAATATTTATTTTTTAGTTTTAGGTGGACACAATATCTTTATTTTTATGCAGTGCTGAGGATCAAACCCAGTGCCTCACGCATGCTAGGCAAGCGCTCTACCACTGAGCCACAACACCAGCCCCTGCCTATTTTTTAAATTTCTTCTCTCCTACCTCAGCGAGACTGACATTAGTGAGAACTACATGGTGAATGCTGAGGAGAAACAAGCCAGTGCCCTACGGAAGCCTGGGAGAGCTCAGAAATTGGAGGCACTGGCCACACAGAAAAAGTCCAAAGCATGGAGGTTAGTTCACCATGCCTTGGGTGGCCTGGTGTGCAGCCAAGTGAACAGGCAGGTGAGCACTTCCCAGGGAAGAGCCCAGTGTATGACTCAAGGTCACCCAGAACAGACATTCATGCCAGGCTTAAGTGGCATGGTGAGTACTACAGCCAGAGGGGAGAAAGCACATTAGATCCCACCCTTCTCATTCCCTCAGTCTCCCATGGCCAACAGCTCCACTCCACGTGCAGCACAACCACGGGGCTGGCAGCGCCCCACTGGTGCCACCATGGAAGGACGCTCCTCCTCAGGAAGACAGAAGAGCAGGGCCAGGCTGAGGCCACTGATGTGTGAGAGTCTGAAACAGGGAAACTAGTCCTCAGGAGACATGCCCAGCACAGGTGGTAGGACTCTGGGTAAGGAGAGTTCCCAGACCCCAGGCCTGTCCTGACGTGCAGGGCAGGAAGCTGTACGTGATTGTCTTTCCCATGTGTATGTGCACACACACTAGGATGGCTCATAGAGCACATCAAATCCAGGAGGACAATCTTTTACCCCGAGTATGGAGGCACAGCCTGGTCTGAAGGGGCCCAAAAAATTTGTGTGACTGTAGTTTGCTGATAGGGCCTACCTGTCGTTTTAAGATAGCATTTTACCAGTGTCACATTTTACCAGATGCAGGAGGATGATCAGAAGATAGCCTCCCACATACCTGGATTAAGCCAACCAAAGAGGTCAAAAAGTGAGTCTGGGGACCTGGCAAGTGTACAGCTGATAGCCTCCCCCCGGTGAGGTCTTCTCCAGCTCCACATCCACTCTCCCTGCACTGCCGACACACGCACAGCAACAGCTGTTCTGCCAGCAGAGGAGTGAGGGCCATTCTGCTGTCCATCACCACCTTGTCCAGTGAGTTAGTCTTTCTGGTCTGGAGGAAATTCCAAGTCAACGACTCCTGGCCAGGCCACGAGAATGGGAGTGTGGGATGCAAGGGACTTCATCCTGGGATGACAAAGCCAGCATTGTTCGAGTTGACCTCCTGTCACCGCAGCTGTGCTAGTTCTTATCAGGGTGTTGTCATGCCAGGCTCTGCAGAGTGAGGAAAAGGTAACATTCCTACCAGCCTCCCTCACCACAGACCTCCCCAGACAAAGATGTTCTTGTCCGATATTTCCTTAGGAGTCCACTGCACCATTGTCAGTCCCCATCATCCATCCCGAATAGGAAGGCCACACCTCGAATGAGCTTGACATATCCATAGTGTTATCCACAGTGTTAAGGAGTCAGGGGTCCTGAGCATGACCAGTGGAACACTGTGCGCCAATGTTCTGTCAGTCTTTCCCCACTCTTTTTGGGTCCTCCAGGAGGGAGACACCTCAAGATGGCATTGGAAGGACCCTCTGGTGACACAGCTGCAGCCCTAACCCTAACTCCCTGGGGAAGTGCATTAGACTGGGAGAGAAAAAAATAAAAAGACAGTCTGGGTGTACTGAGGGTGGGATTCTGGGTGCAGCCTGTCCTTCATCCTCTCCAAGTTCAAAGCGTGTTCACAGTCTGGCATTTCTCTCCTGCTGGAGTGTGATGGCTGGTGTCTAAAGTCTGTATGGCTTAGTTAGGGAGTACCTCGGTAGGTTGGGGTTTCTTGATGGTCTTTGTATAGTTGTCGGTTTCACTGTTTTATCACCCTGTTTATCGGCGTGGGGGTGCAACTTGAAAGTTTCATCTTACGGGACAGGAGCTCATCTGTCATGGTATTGCTTGGGCTGTGAATGTGGTGTCTTCTCAGATTGGAATCCCTCTGGATATCTGAACATGAGACGAAGGAGTCTTTTTATTTATTTATTTATTTTTAGCTACAATGGTCATCTCTGCCCCAATGACCCACTGGAATGGCAGTCTCATACTGCAATACAAGGCCCCTGCGAAGAGGCACCACCACACACGGTGACCAGGACCAGCAGTCTGACAGGGCCAGATTGTCCGTACAGTATGGCCTGCCCACGTTGGCAGGAGTCTCCCAACTGTGCTGTATCGAGGGCTTTAGTGTTTTCTAGGGGGAATCCTTGTGATTTGGACCATTTCTGTATCTGAGGGGGACTTACATGCTCTGTTTTGTGATGGGCCCAACAGGTAATCACAGCAATTTGCTGAGCACAAGTTAGGTTAGCTCTTCAATTTGTCTTTTCTTTTTAAATAACTCCCTATTACAGGTGTAATGTGAGTAATGAATAGGTTTGGTTTGGTTGGTTTTTTTTTTTTTTTTTTTTTTTTTTAGTCCACAAGCTATTGTCACAGGCCCTGTCCCCATTCAGGGGAGCCTTTAGTGGTTCAGTTTTTAATTTGCCAGGTACTAGACCGTATAGCTAGCCCAGTTCTAACAGCTCACACCTATAGTTACATAGCAGACTGTGGCTGTTAGAGTGGCCTGTGTCACTGATGGTTACACATGGAGTTTAGCCCATCAGGCAATGTTCTCAGTCTTGGTTAAATGATGGCCATTTGGGGTGGATGGCTACAGCAGCCTAGTAGTTCTTACCAGCTTTGAGATTCAAGGACCCCTCTAGGGACCAAGCTGTACCATCAGCTGGGAAGTCTTTGAGCCAGGGGCGCTACTTGATTACCAGAGAGGTATGAACCTCTCTTGGTGGAGGCTGTTTAGCCTCCCCCAGTAAAGCAGTTCCTGTGGTATGGAGTTGGCCA